TCTGGGTCTTAGTGCCTGCCAGCCACAGCTATGTCAAGGAAGGTGAACCTAATCTATAAAAAACTACTGGCCAGGCTCTGTAAGTAAACTGAGCCTCAGCCAGGGTAAGACTGTAGTTACCACAGAACTCTGATTCAACGATGGCTAGATGTTAAGGCTCCTCACCCTCAAGGATCAGTTGGTCAGATTTCCCTTTCTTGTAGCTCCTTTATGTGGCTACAGAAATACATATGGAGCAGTTAGGTGCAAAGCTTGCAAAACTCAGGGCATAAAGCAGATGAGAACACGGCATTCGGCACTCTTCCATCATGTACTCGCCTTGTTGGGTCTCCAAAACACCATAGCCCAGGTCCCAACCTTCATAATAATCCCCTACATTTGAACTATAGTTTGCAAAGCACTTTCCCATACATTTTCTGATTGGGTCTTCACAACAACTCTGGGAATCAAGTACCACTAAGTACCCGTCTTACAGTGGAAGCAGAGATGAAGGGAAGTCCTAAGGATGCACAGCCAACAGATAATGCAGTGAACCTGGTCACATGACAGTAAATCCCATGGTCTTTTCATTATTCTACCCTAAACCCTTGGTGAGGTAAAGTAAAATTTAGAAAACAAAAGTCTGCATTTCAATTTACTTTTTTTTTTTCTTTTCTTACCCTTTTTTGCAGTGGAATTTTTACTAAGCAACTGAAGTTTTGAAATCACTGATTATTATAGTAACAGCAGATCATTCAAAATGAGATTTAGTTAGGTTTAGAGAAACCAGACAGGATAGAGTCATGAATGTTGTTGTCAACAGGTGCCTTCGAGTCAGTTCCAACTCACAGCGACCCAATGTACAACAGAACAAAACACTGCGCAGTCCTGTGACATTCTCACAATCGTTAGGTTTAAGCCCATTGTTGCTTCGAAGACACATTTATTCATTCTTCTGGCAGTCCATGGTATATTCAGTATTCTTCGCCAACATCATAATTCAAAGGCATCAATTCTTCTTGGGTCTTCCTTATTCATTGTTCAGCTTTCGCATGCATATGAGGCAACTGAAAATACCATAGCTTGGGTCAGGCACACCTCATTCCTCAAGGTGACATCTTTGCTTTTTAACACTTTAAAGAGGTCTTTTGCAGTTGATCTGCCCAATGCAATAAGTGGCATGTAAAAATAATTAATTAACTGGGGAGAGGGGAGGTAGTTTGCCCCAAATGTTTCCCTAGCCCTTACCTTTGTCCGGAAACAGCCTACCTCCACACTCGGCTCCTGGTTAATGAACATAATTTGGTTGATGTCCCTTGAACTGTATAATCTGTTCCACAGAAAACAAACCCACAGTTTGTCTCCAAGCCACTGTTAAGTCCCTAACTCCTTGGTTACATTCCGTCTATGGAAAACATCTGTGGCAAAGTAAATCATCCTAGTCTGAGAAAGACCAGAGCATGTTTGTTTTGTTTTGCTTTTTTTCTAAGTGTGTTTTGAAGTCCTAGTTGGTAAATTAGTGAAAATTGTAAATCTGTTTGCAAATCTGGTCATGTCTAACTCTGAGATTAGGGCAAAGACTCCAATTTAAGAGTAAAACTGTGACAACCCCAGTTAAGCGTGTCCTCAGGCACTGCCAGCAGGGCCTTCACTCACTTCCACGGGCAGTAGATTTATTACAGGCACCCGCCACGTTCCCCATCAGACACCCCTGGAGTATATTTACTTGAGACAGCAGGGTTCAGTCTGCACTTCCTCTGCAGACCAATATATTATTATAAATTGAGCTAAACTGTTTCCTTTTCAAAAGTGCTATGAAGTTCAGATTTCAGATATCAGCTCAGTGCTGAGGTCCCTCCACGGGGCTCCTTGTGCTCTCTGGATTTAAAAAATAATAAGAAAAGGCAGTACTGCAACACCCAGCTCAAGCATGGCAATGACTGTGAGGATGGTGCAAGACCGGGGGTGTTTCATTCTATTGTACTCAGGGTCTCTATGAGTCAGAACCGTCTCGACAGCACCTAACAACAAGAACAACAACAGACCACTGTTACTTTTAATTTTGTTTTGTTTAAAAGGAGATGGAGGAAGATTCATTCTACAAATCAAAGATGAAATCTTAATAAGAAAATATATTCTAGATGCAGACTTTGGGTCCATTGTGCTGTGCTTGGCACAGTTCAGCAGAATACCAGATATTTCACCCATACCTGAAGGAAATAACACTCATTTCTTCTGTTTATTACCTGCAATAGCTAAAGGAACTGAATGTGTATTTTTAAACATATGTTTATTATAAGTTAAAAGGACAGTGTAATTATTAAATGTTTTCATTATTAATCCATATCTGAGGCAAGAAAAACATAACTTTAGAAAGAAATGAGAAACAAATGAAGCCTCTTCCTCTTCACTTCTTTTCTTCATGAACAACCTAGTCCTGACACCATTAGGTGAAGCAGAGAGAGGCGTTCATGCAGGGGGCAGTGTGTGGGAGGGCCAAAGGCTGAGTGGGGTGAGGAGGGCACCCAAAGGGATGTAAGGGTAGCCAGGCAATGGGGTATCAGAGTCTGAGTGGGGTAAAATAACAAGTTCTAATTCAGGCTTCTTACTAGCTGTGTAACCATGTCTAAGTAACTTCATTTAACCTTGATTTCTTCTTTTGCAATATAGCTAAAATCAGTTTTTCCAGGTTACTGAGAAGATTAAAGAAATGTTTGACTTGTCATCAGTCTCCAACAAATGTGGAGTTATTCACATTACTACCTTTATTACATACATACATATTTACAGAAAAAAAGACTAGAAAGGAATATACTAAATCAGGCATGAATATTGATTTTTATGTTCTTTCATTTTATATTTTCCAGGTTTATTTTCTCTACAATGAGCACATATTGCTGTTTTAACTAGAAAAGAACACATAAGATACTGTTAAATATAATTTGCTCTATAAACTTTCACCTAAATCACAATTAAAAAAAAGATACTGCTGAATAAATGGCAGATAGCAGACCTTTTTCATTGAGTACTTATTACTGTTATATCCAGAAAAAAATAATAAACCTATTAAAAATGGTACCATTCTTGCCCTCATTTCTTTTAAAGATGCAAATTGCTAACAGAAACTCCTGAACAAAGTAACCAAAGGAAAATATAATTTTGATCCTCCTTATTGGCAAATTAATACCCATTGAGTCTTAAGCCAAATCATAGTATTTGAAAGTAACTCCCTATATAATGCTCTTCATATCCTCCTGCTAACATTAAAGTCTCAGATTGGTGCCATAATATGGTTAACACCTCTCTAACAGTTCCTAATCTCCTTTTTAACAAAGACAGAACAAGACTCAGACTCAGGATTTTCATCAAACAGAAGTAATAGACGCTCACTAATATTGTTTTAGTTTCTCTATATTTATATTTATAAAACCCATCTAATTATGCCATGTCTAACTAGAAAGCGGCTACTTCCTAGTTTTTCATTTAAAGTAGTGACAGAAAATCTCCTGAAATAAATTCATTTCAGTAAAAGAAAAAAGTGAGATTATTTAGAGAGCAACAGTATGTAAATAATAGTATAGATAGCACATGGATATGACAACCACCGAAGCTGATCTGCGAATGACTGAAATTTGAAAAACACCTAAAGAGCTCTGAATTCCTAGAATGCAAAGACCAAATTGACTCATCTCCATATCTCCCCCAGAATCTTTTATTTTTTTTCCTAGACTAGTGACTGGGTATACCCGAATGGTGTTAAAGTCGGTGGAGGTGGGCAGCTAGCAGAGGCCCAGCTGGCGCAACTCCTGGGACAGAGGAGAGCTTGTCCTTGTGTCCAGGCCTGCATGAAATATGAGGAAGTTGCTGCTATTGATTTCAAGGGGCTTGTGCTGGAGGAAGAGGGGCCTTAGTGTGTGTGGGAGTCATTGCCTAGAAAACAAACCCTGTCCCCAGCTAACAGGTACACAGTCCTTGGGAAGCCACCAGTGGGGACAGGGCCAGGTTTCATGTTGATCCTGAGGATGTTATGAATTTCTTCTGCAGGAGAAGCCATTGAATGTTTTCAACTGTATCAGTAGCACAGCATTTTTGTATGAAAACTGGGACACTTCTGAACAGTAAATTCATTTAATTGCTAACATTTTGAAATAAAAAACGTAAAAAATAAAAGAGTAAAAAAAACCTCCCCTTACACAGTACCAGGGACAAACGTCCAACTAACTAGGAATTAATTCTTATCATAAATACTGTACTTGAGCCCTGGTGCTTCCTGGCTCCAAAACCAATACATGAGTAGATCCCCCAGGCAGGTAGGAGTGAGATAAACACTGAACAATCAGGAACTAGAAACAAGGAGAGAATAAGCCCTAGGAAGATCTGTGAGTAAAAATGGGTAATGTCTGCACACTGTGCATCAGAAAACTAGTAGGAAGTCTAAAACAAAACAAAATACCTAAGAGCAAAGGAGCAAAAATAAAGCCTATAAAACTCCACAGCTTCAGATAGCCTAACCGCAGCTGAAATATAGCTTCCCAGAGAACTAATGACAAGTGGAGAGAAAGGCCCTGTTGTTAGGTCAGCTGTTCCTGAGAAGAAACTACATTCAAAACTAGAAAAAAACTCTTACTACTAAGAACTTGTATAAAAAACCAAACCTGCTGCTGTCAAGTTGATTCCGACTCGTAGCAACCCTACAGGACAGAGCAGAACTGCCCCATAGTTTCCAAGGAGCGCCTGGTGTATTCGAACTGCTGACCTTTTGGTTAACAGCTGTAGCACTTAACCACTATGCCACCAGGGTTTCCCAGGAACTTGTATACACAGTAAAATATTTAAGAAACTTCACACTGATAAATTAGTAATATCTCAATAAAACTAGTTACATGTTCTTATAAAGAAGTGTCATTACTACTATAAAATGCTTGAAAAGATTACTTCAGAAGACGTATTCAAAATATGCACTCAATAATCTAAACTTGGACACTAGAACATCAATATAATTTTGATCCTCCTAAGATTACCAAGCATAAAATAGCAGTCTCCTTGGTGAAGAGGTATTGCCAAACCAGGTGTCTCTATGTCCCATGAGATCTTAAAACCAACATGCCAAGTATCAGGATCTCTGCCTTCAAGATCAGGATCATCCTCACTTTCCTCTTCAGGGCCTGTCAAAAGAGAAAAAAAGTGATCAGAAAGGAAATGTCTTATCTAAACTTCTAGGTTGTACAACAGTTATTTTAGAAATAAGTGAAATTTTAATAATCTATTGATGATAAGTAAAGTATATCCTGCTTTTGTGTCACATTTTTAAAAGCACACTGTAGAATATTTTTAACATGTCATTTATTTTTTCATGTCATATAAATAAATAAATATGATAATGTAAATAAAGAAAGAACTACTGATACCTTGGAAGATAAAAGATTATTTTGCTCAATTCCAAGCAAATAAATTAGAGAATACGAATTAAATGGATAATATTTAAGGAATATGTTAATTACCAAAGTTTACCCCAGAAGAGGTAGAAAACGTAAACAAACCATAGAAGGAATACAGGAAGTTGTCAAAGAACTATCTTCCAACAAAATACAGGCCCAGAGTTTCAGAAAAGGAATTCTACCAAAAATTAAGGAATAGTAACTTCAAATACTTTAAACTGTTTAAGAGCATTGAAATTTTAAAATTTCCGAAATATTATTCATTAAGATAGAATCATATATAGGTCTCCGGCAAGATGGCGGTCTAGGCAGAAGCACCACGCCGTCCCTCCACAACAAAGATCCGAAAAACTAAGCCAAACAGAGAATCAACAAT